CCATTTTTAGCCCGATTTGGTCCTTCCGTTAAAATCTCACCGTTATCTCACGACAATTTAATGACATGGCAAACATTTGAGATACGTCAGTTGTATAAATGAATAAATAATGACATGGCAACGTGACATGTCATGTCTTTGCCCAAACCAACAAAAGTAGGGCCCACCAAAATTACGAATTTGCCATCATCTTCTTCCTCCAACAAACAAACCCAGCACCAAACAAACTCAGCACCTGGGTTGAATTGAACCCAACAATGCCCTTTTTTTTTCCTTCCTCTTCCTTGCCTTGCTTTCTTCATCATCATCAAACACCAAACCCACAGTCATCAAACACCAAACCCACAGAAAAAAAAAATATATTTTTTTTTACCCCTGGGTTCAAGGAACCCAGGTGTGTTGGGTTCTTCGAACCCACGCCTGGGTTTCGTTGAACCCATGCCTGGGTTCGACGAAACCCAGGGTTGGGTTCCATGGAACCCAGCTGGTTCGCCGCTGGGTTCCAGCCCGGGCAAGGGTGCTAGGTTCGCAAGGAACCCAGCGCCTGGGTGGGTTCGAAGGAACCCAAGCCTGCTGGGTTCCGAGGGGAAAGAGAAGGGAAAGGGGAAGGAGAAAGGGAAAGCGAAAGGAGAAGGAGAAAGAAAAAAGAAAAAAGAAAAAAAATTTTAAATTTTATTTTTCATAATATTTTTTTATATTATTATTTTTTCCACATCATCACTTTTTGGCTATATTATCTTACACATGGATCACTGCATGACATGTCATTTGGTAACCGTGAAATAACAGGCCACGTCATACAATTTTTAATGGAAGGACCAAATCGGGGTAAAAATGGTAAACAGTAGGGACCAAATCAAGGATTTTTTTAGTTCAGGGACCAAATCAGGGGTCCGTACAATAGTTCAGGGACCAAAAAGGGGTTTTAACCTTTATTAGATTTTATTTAATACTTAACACATTAATTAATATAATTATATTATTTATTAATATATTTAACTAATTTAAAACTTGATTTTATCTAAAAAATATGTGAATATGCATATGAGACTACATAGATATTTTATATAAAGTTATCACAAGTTTTTGTTAATGGTTTTTAAATTAAGAGTTAACTTTTTTTCAAATAAGAGTAGACTCTTTTCCAAAAAGAGTCGACTCTCATTAAAGAGAGTCAATTATACACAACACTCAAAATGTTCTCAACTCTTTGGAATTTGGGAATCGAATGTTCACCATATATAGTCAACTCTTGAATACTCGATAGTCGAATCTTTGTAGCTAGATTCGACTCTTTATTTAATGGTATATATATATAATGGCCTTGACCAACTATTAGTCAAAGTGATAATATCAGCAACAAGGGATATGCTGCTGATGTTTGGTTGGTCAAAAGATGAAAATAACAACAACATAATATATGTTGCTAATACTTTAGGTGTAGTTGGAAAAGTTTCAGCAAGATAGCTCTTGTTGCTAAAAGTCACTTTCAACAACAAGGAATATCTTGCTGAAAGTGGAGCTCAATTAGATGGGGAAATAATTGCCAGAAAATATCAACAACATGAGGTATGTTGCTGAAAGTAGAACAACTTTTTAGGAGAAAAATGTACTATGCAACTTTCAGCAACATGAGTCTTGTTGCTGATACAAATTTTCAGCAACAAAGGATCTCATGTTGCTGATATATTGTTGCTGAAGGCTTGAATTTTAGTAGTGCGTCGATTTGTTGTTGTAGGTGCCTTTCGTGCCGATAACGAAAAGGAGTGCAAATCTACCTCCAATCTGGTATCCATTTCCAATCCTTTATTTTTCTTGGAATCCCATTTTTTTGCTCTTGATGTTTTATTTGGATTTTTTGTTTATTTTTTGTAAGCTTTGTTCTTTTTTTTCCCTTAATACATTTGAATGTTAAAGAATTTTCAAAATAGTTTCAAGATTTAGGTTTGAATTATAAAAAGTTAGTTCAAAGCAATTGCACTGAATGCATTTGAAAAAGTATGATTTTGGTTCGAATCATATAAACATGATTTGAATTATTTACATAAAATTAGAATTTGAAAATTATGATTTTAGTTCAAACCATATAAATATAATTCGAATTATTTACATAAAAAATAAAAGATAAAATTATGATAAACTTCTCAAGAAAGAGTAAATAACCTTGAAAGGTAAGAAAATACGTGACTTGAAATTCAAATCAAATCAAATGACTTTTGAAAGAGTTCCAATGAATAAACTTAACAAAAATTTAGATAGTTTTAGATAATAAATTGAAAAGAAGCATCTGTTCTCAACACACATCTTACCCCTGTAAGTATGGAGTTATCTCTTCTTATTTTGAATCTCTTGAATATAAAAACAAATCCCTACTATTATTTAAATAAAATGGCCTCTTTTTATACTATGATTACTACAAAAATCTCTGTACAAAAACTATTGTTTTGTCACTTTCGAAAGGACAGTTCAATGGTTGATCTTGCTAGTGCAAAGGCTAGATCAACAAGGCACTTAATTGTATCTTACAGGCATTTCAGTTTACTCCCTTTTGCATATTAGATTTGGTGGGGGAAAAATTAATCTAAAGAAAAGTGGCATTTATAGCACGCCTTGAAGCCAATGATGTATTTTCTAACCTCTAATTTCCAACGATCTTTAGGCTAATTTTTCAGTTTTTTGATATCATGGATTACAAGATAATTGAAAAGAAACTTGAGTTAAAAACGCAAGGAGATTTGTCATGCGATGGTGGCAAAAGAAAAAGGGATTTCTGCTGTGATTAACCCATCTATAAAAATAATGATTTAATCAATCGATCATGGTCACTTGAGTGAAGTTTTCACATGATCAATCAATGATGATGGATCGAATAGCTACTTTTTACAAAGCAATTGTGTAATCATATTGTCAAAGAGTGACAATGGATCAATCAACCACAAAATGCAAATAAAATTGTATGAATTGTAAGGCGATGACGATGCATGATATCAACACAAGAAGGAAAACAAGGTGTAGACAAATTGAAACTCAATATAGGCGAAATAGGTACGCAAAAATAGAAAATAAATTATTAAATTTTATGCCATCTTTGTCGATATGAACTTATTAATAAGGATATTCTTAATTGGCATGAATTTTTCATATGATTTTGTTTTGCAAACAAATTTTGAATGGACTTTCGATCAGTGAACACAAAAAGGAAAATACAATGCTCATGATCTAAATACATGAGTTACTTATAAAAATTAATTCTTTGAGTTTGAGTGATGGTTTCATATCATTATCTATCAAATATCTCTGAATGAACATTGCACTCAGTGATGTTATTTCACAAGTTGATCATCCATGCTTATCTCTTGTATCTATTTAGTCAAATATGAGGAGAAAACATCTCATGGAGAATGACTTCAAAAGAAGTTATCAAAGATACAAATGACTACAAAGTTTCATAATTAAAGTCATTTGGCACAATGAGGCAAGAGAAATAAAATGGGTCTTTAAATCCTATTTGGAGATTAAATAAATCTCAAACTTGATAACATGATTCTTGATTGTGAGAAGGTAGATATAAGAGACAAAATTCTCTTTATGAATTTGAATATGATCATGTTTTAAGTGCATGATTGTGCCTCGGTTTTAAGATTACTAATGTGATACAAATGAAGTTTTGTTTTTCTTTTCATTTCGTGATGATTATTTATTTAGCAGCAATTTCATTTGCTTAGTGATTCATTGAGTTTTAGAAAGTAAACACATAATTGTTCTATGGTGAATTACTTATGAAGCTTTATGGAGTTTAAGTAGTATATCTTACTTCTAGACATGATTTTATTAAAGTATGCTTACGGCTTATTAAAGTAAATGAGATTTCCTTTACTAAGATTATGTTATAAGCATGTTTATGTATGTAACAGTTTAATTAAATCATTTGTGCTCTGTATATATGATACACATACATGTGCTTCTTGTTTGTTATTTTGTTAATCTTAACGTGAGACTTGTGGAAATATAAGAGGCTAATGAACTTGATCATGTTTCATTAATGAAAGGTTTGAAAGGTTGCTTAAAGCATGACTTCTTGTTACTTTTGATGCCTTTGATTTATGCTTGTAAGATTATATATTAGTATATGAAAATTATTATAAGTGAGAATTAAGTTTTATGATGGCTACTTTGCCATGATAAAAAAAGAAATACTAAAATAGGATTTGGCAAACCCATTTGGAGATCCAATTGATGATCTTAGTTTGAATATAAACAAAGAGAAGAGAGGCCAAGTGAAAAGGCTCTCAGTTTTAATAAGTCATGAAGGATTTTGAATCATTGTTTAGATGCTATCTCTTAATGAGATAATTTACAAAACTTAGTGCAGCCTTGTGCACTTGATTCATTTTTGGAAGATGGTGTTGTTTTTGGTTTTTGGTTCAAATCACTCAAAGATGATTTGAATCAATTACACAAAAAGCACAAAGAGTATTAAGGACTTGGTTTGAAACATATTTATATGAATTGACCCATTTTTGATAAATCAAAAATTGTCTTGATATGTCTCTCATGAAGAATATTGATGTCATAAAATTGACAAAACAATATTTAAAATGGTGGGAACAATCCCAAGAGTGAGAGGAATAAGGACTAAAAAGTCTTTGACACATGAAAAGCAAATAAAAAATAAAAAATAAAAAATAATTAAATTTGAAAGTGGAGGAAGCAAGAATTCCACTTATTCATGATATTACAAAGTTATATGGCACTATTTAAAAGTGATAGCACTTATTCTTGGAGATGTCTACACCGATGTTACCAAGTGCTTATAGAGAAGTCAATATGACAGTAGACTCATTGTTATAAAATGTAGACATAGAAATAATTAATTCTTAAATGAGGTGATCACCATAATCTTTGTAAGATCTTGTGTGAATTAACTTCATGAATTCTTGATTAAAAGGATTATCAAAAGGAAATTTTACAAGACAAAGAGGGATGGGTCTCGAGTCCATATTGACAAAGTCACACATGATGGAACCTAGACTTAACACTTGATAAAACATCAAGTCTTAAGTTCAATAAGTAAAGTACATCATATGAAGGTGATTGCAAGTACTTAATTTATAAATAATACCATCCCAAGTGGAAGAGTACTTGGTAATTGTATGAACTAAACAGGAGGTTGAGTTTTACTCTTAATAGGTCCTATAATAGATTTCTGTTAAAGTGCTTAATGTGGTAGCACTTTTGATGGGATCTACCTATGTGAGTGGAAGTGGTGCCACTTCTAAGAGTTAGGGACTTGACTCTAATAGCACTCATGACAAGGATATAAGACACATGGCTAGTTTTTGTGTCAGCGATGCTAATGAATTTTTCTTTTGAAAGCTTGAAGTTTTGTGTGTGACATGTGTCCAATTAGACACTTAGAATTGTTGGTTCAAAGTATTGGTCTACCATTCAATTTTGACTAACTTGCCAACACATGTTCACTAAGTAAAATGTTCAAATTGTGTTAGTTTGAACCACAAAAAGTTGATTCGAAACAATTACACAAAATGCATTTGAGAAAGCATGATTTCAGTTCGAACCATATAAATATAATTTGAATTGTTTACATAAATCAAAATTTGAAAAGTATGATTTTGGTTCAAACCACATTTATATGGTTTGAACTATTTACATAAGGAAAAAAAAGGATAGAATTCTGATAAACTTCTCAAAGAAGAGTAGATAACTTTGGAAGGTAAGGAAACACATGGGTTGGAATTTAAATCAAACCAAATAACTTTTGGAAAAGTTTTCAATGGATAAACTTAACGAAAATTTAAATATTTTCAATTAATAAACTAAACAAGAGCATCTGTTCCTAACAGACATCTTGCCTCTATAAATACGTAGTTATCTCTTTTTTTCTAAGTCTCTTGAACACAGAAACAAATCCCTATTATTATCTAAATAAAATAATACCTTTTTATACTATGATTGCTATATAAATCCCTATACAAAAACTATTGTTTTGTCACTTTCCAAAGAACAGTTCAGTGGTTAATCTTGCTAGTGCAAAGGCTAGATCAACAAGGCGTTTCATTGTATCCTACGGGCATTTCAGCTTACTCCCTTTTGCATACCACATCTGGTTATGGTGAAATTAGCCTAAAGGAAAGTGGCATTTTCAAGCTGGCCTTGAAGCCAATGATATGTTTTCTAACCCCCAATTTCCAACATTTGAAGCTCAAATGAGAATGAATGAGTACCATTTCAAGCTAAATTGGAGCAAATTTGTCTTGGTTATATTCTGTATAAACCAAGATATTTAGATTCATGATTTTTTCTTGGGTCTGTAGAATTTAGTGATAATTCTGCTGTTACTTTTGTGAAAAAGGCTGCTGCTTTAAATCTGAAATGGTTCCTTTTGTTTTTGCTTCTATTTATTCCTACGCATTCTATTCAGTTGATCACCAAGGAGGAAGGCTTGGAGCTTTATGAAGATATGATTTTGGGAAGAGCATTTGAGGACATGTGTGCTCAGATGTATTTCAGGGGAAAGATGTTTGGTTATGTTCACTTGTACAATGGTCAAGAGGCTGTTTCGACTGGGTTTATTAAGCTCTTGAAGAAGGAGGATTCTGTGGTCAGCACGTATCGTGGTCATATGCATGCCCTAAGTAAGGGTGTCCCTGCTCGTGCTGTGATGAGTGAGCTCTTTGGTAAGACCACTAGATGCTGCCGAGGCCAAGGTGGGTCTATGCACATGTTTTCAAGGGAACACAATTTGCTTGGTGGGTTTTCATTTATTGGGGAGGGGATTCCAGTGGCCACTGGTGCTGCATTCACATCCAAGTATAGGAGAGAGGTCTTGAAGGAGGCAGATTGTGATCATGTAACATTGGCATTTTTCGGGGATGGAACTTGTAACAATGGGCAGTTCTTCGAGTGTTTGAACATGGCAGCAATATGGAAGTTGCCAATTGTGTTTGTTGTGCAAAATAATTTGTGGGCCATGGCGATGTCTCATCTGAGGGCAACTTCTGATCCTCAGATTTATAAGAAGGGACCAGCTTTTGGAATGCTCGGCATTCATGTCGATGGGATGGATGTTTTGAAGGTGAGGGAAGTGGCGCAGACAGCAATTGCAAGGGCTAGAAGTGGAGAAGGTCCAACATTGGTGGAATGCGAGACATATATGTTTCGCGAACACTCATTGACTGGCCCTGAGGAGCTTTGTGATCCTGGTAAGCTTTTAATTTTTGTTTGGTTCCTTTTTCGTTTGCTTATTAATATGATCCAGAGAAGATGTTACTTTTGGTTGTTTCGTTACTCTCTTCAGAAATTATGTTTTCCCAACTAACTAAACAAAAACAGCACTTGTAATACTGACATAAACAACGTTAGCATGTACGTGTAGGCAAACAAGTATATACTAGAAAATATCCTGATGTTGGATTCATGGTTTTGTGTTGTAAACTTCTATGTATATGGAAATTCCCTTTCACTTTGGCACTATATTATTATGCTAACTGGAACTAGAGGAATGGGTTTCGAGCTTCTTAGGTATCAACAATGTGTACGGAGATTGTAATTGCACTAATCTTCTATTATAAATATCTTTACCGTTTGTAAAGTGCACTCTTACTCAAAATTTGATTCTTTGACAGCTGAGAAAGCTCACTATGCCGCTAGAGATCCCATTGCTGCATTGAAAAGGTACTTGATTGAGAACAATCCGGCCAGTGAAACAGAGTTAAAGGCCATAGATAAGAAGATAGAGGAGTTAGTGGAAGATGCTGTTGAGTTTGCTGATGAAAGCCCTCATCCACCTCGGAACCAGCTACTTGAAAATGTGTTTGCAGATCCAAAAGGTTTTGGAATTGGACCTGATGGCCGATACAGATGTGAGGATCCAAAATTCATGGAAGGCACTGCTCAAGTCTAAACTCAGCCTGTTATCAGTCTATTTATGCTTGCTTTTAGTTATAAACATATTTAGTTACTGCTAGCAGTCATCTGTTTCACTTGTTCAAGTTTAATAATGTTCACTCTGTTGGATTTTTGAGTGTAAGAAGAGAGGAATTGAGAGAGGACCTGGAGGAGGAGGAGAGACGCCCGGAGATCCCTCCTTTGGTGAGGTCAGTACCCATTTTCTTCCATTGATATTCTGCTATTTATAGCAGAAACAACACAACATGACATAGAACATAAAAGCCATAAACATGGAAGGGTGCAGACATTCACCCAACCGGAAGGAGAAACCATGCTTTCTCTTCTCTCAATTTTCATTCAATTTCTTCCTTCCTTTTTATAGAGGAAGGCTACACATAAAACAATTATATTCTTCTACCTAATACAATAATTATTAACTACCCAAAACATTGACTAAAATGATGAGGTTTGCTGCCATTTCTTGTAGCCCATGTGCAGCTCCATGCTGCTGTCACTTTGCTGCTACTGTGCAGTCATGTTGCAGCATCATCTCATTTCATTTTCAGCTTTCATGCCATTGCTCCAACACACTCATATAAGTAGTATTTGATCTTTATGGCCCTTCAGACGGTTGTTTCTGCCATAACTATTGTAGCATAGCTCTGTAGGGCAGTTGAAGCCACTACAATCATGTCTGCAAGATCAGCGGCAACACACTGAAAGAACCAACTGTTAGAATTCAAATTTTATTTAACGAAAATATACAGAACAAGTCTGAAACGGTAATCACCTCGACATTGAAGGCTCCCACCTGAAACCCTATATATGAAACCCTCTCTAACAGTGTCAACCAACCCACCAATTAATGCAACAATAGGTACCTAAAGTGAAATAGAGGCAACGACATTATGCAGACAAACTTTAGTGGTCTTCAGTTATTTTCTCTGCAAATCATTTAAAAAAAAAAGAAGTCAGAGTTGAGCCCTGCGGTCTTATTCAACTGCATGCTATCTGCTCCTGCTAGGATCATATGGGCTAAGGGAACATTAAATTTATCTACAACTCTAGCCTTGTCAGGGTATAATATCTCCAATTTTCGAATCTGCTCTTCCATTGGCTTCTTGCCAGTTCCCCAAGAAGTTCACCAAGTATCTCACAGTAAGTTATTCATCTGTGTTTCTAAGGAAGAACCAGGAGGAAAAAGTAGTTTCCTAATTGAGCACTTACAAGAATTATTATCTGAACCTTCTCCCTAACAAATTGAGGGATGGCTTCTACAAGAATGTTTGAACCTTTCTGCTCTTCAAGTCTGCTGATGAAGCCCATGACAGGGATGTCTCTATCCACTGGCAACCTTACTTTAGCTTGGAGAGCCTACTTTCAGAAGAGCCTTTGCAATCATCACTTGACCTTATAGCTGGACAAAGCAGCAGTCATCATGCAGAGATGGAAAAAGGTAGGCAAGTCAAGGAGCTAAAGGGGCAGGGAAGATTACCTTAAAAACCCAAGTATACACAGTGAGTTCTGGAAATACCTCACTTAAATTTGCTATTATCTCCCAATTGAGGAATGCTTTTGTGGGCAAGGAGAAACAGTTGAATACATCAATGAAGTAAAATATTTGCTAGTGTTTTGCTAAATATTCAAGCTCCTAACCGTTAGGATGGATTTATGCACCAAAAGTTCAAAAACTCAAATGCAGGTCTCTCATCAAATTTACATGGTAAAATTTTTAATTGAAGGGCGCAATCGGGTTCAAACCGGTGACCTCTTGATCTGCAGTCAAATGCTCTACCACTGAGCTATGGACCCATTTGATGAGATTTAAAATTACAAATATTGGATAAAACAGACATGAGTTCTTTTTATAATGAAAGATTGCTAAACAGCATTCTGTCAGTTTGGAATGGAGCTGATGCAACTCGTGTAGGTCACAACATCAACATGACCCAATCCTTTGCCCCACTCTTCGCATCCAACTCAGTATTTTACCCCCAAAATTTGTCATGAATCTATTTGTTAACTCTCCCGTGAATTGCTAGCAATTTTAGCAGGTTAATATAATCTCTTCTTAGGGTAAGAAATAGTAGATTCAAGTTGTAAATATGTAATAAGTTAAATAAAGGAATGAAAACATGTCACATTTCATTACGCAATTTATATAAAATAATAAAAAAAATTTTGAGAAATGAGAGTGAGGTAGATGATTAGGCTACATTTGGGATTGTTGAGTATATTTGTATAATATTAAAATATATAAAATTGTTGATACCATGGATTGAATTCATTCCATTAATTATAATCAAATTATAATAAATTAATATTTTATCAACGACTTAAATAATTTGGTGATAATATTCTTATTTTAGAAGTAAAATATCATAAATTTGAAGCGAATGACATGTGAATAAATGAGTAGATGAGTTGAAAGATAAAAATGATTGCTTCCATTGTATAATCTAAAATAAAAAAAAATAATTAATATTTTAAATAATGTATGCCTATGTGGAGAAGCAAGCTGAAATCAAATCCCAAATGCTTTCTTACGCTTCGTAGAAGCTATTCAGTATAATAATTTGAAATTAGAAGTCAGTAATTTTATCTAATCTAATAAATAAAAGTATATGAATTATTAATAATAACAATTATCAATCATCAAATTAAATAAAACTATTAATAATTAGTTTTAAATTGCCCTACCAAATGGCTGCTTATTAAGCTTACTAATTCTAATTAATTACTTATCATCTTAGCAAAATTTGCCCAAAAAAGAGTTCCCTAAACGTTGGAACAATTTTAAGAAAAGCCCTTATAGCTACATAAGAGTTTTTT